AGGGCAGATAGCTCTGTGCGTGTGGGAAATATCTTAATCTACAACTTCTGCTTCCCTCAGAGCACTGAAAGCAGAGCCTTAAGTCTGGTCTTTGGATACCACAAGAATTTATGCCTCTAGTAAGCTGAAATTAATATCTCCTTTATAAATGAACACTGGGAAAAGGGATTTTTGGCATGATTGACAATGCCATGCCTACTGGGCTGGAAATTTCAGTATTTGTATCCTGTGCAACCCTTATTTGGGAGCAGGGATGGTCAGTGATGATGTTGGTGAGTGCCAGAGACTGGTGCTTGCCTGCATGGCTGCCAGCTCTGCCAGTCTCCTTCCCTGACCCGCTGGCATCTAGCAGCAGCAGAGTGTCCTCTGAAGCCAGGTGGGAAAGCCAGGCCTCAAGAGCACTGCTGCAGACTCTCCAACACTTGTTACCATGACATGCAAGGCAGGACAAAGGAGAGTGCTAGCAAATTCCCTAATTGCTGCATCATCGCTGATATCACACCAAGCAGGAGCCCTCCAGCTTCTGCATGTTTGCTGATGACTCTGCACTCATCCAGCTCCTGCTTAGTCTTGGCTGTTCTCCCACATACTCCACCCATAGCTGACAAGTTTTGTGCAGCTTTATAACCCCATTAACGTATGACTCAGGGTGCTGCTTATTAAAAAAGAGGTGTGTGTGGTCATACAGACAATTATAGGTACAAGAGAGGTAAGGTGGTGCTGAGAACAAGACAGGAATAATTATAAAGCTATTGGACTGTGTAAATGTGGAAGTAATTGCTCCTTCCCAAAGCAAATTAAACATAAATAATCAAATAACTCAGCAGAAGTAGTGAAGTCTCAAATAAATGACAATTGTGTTTTGCATTTTCCCAGGACCATCTAGCTCTAAGAAAGGCTAACAAGCACTTTAAATTGTAACTTATTGAAGTGTTGGATTATAAAACTGGAATACAGAACACTACTACCCTTCCTATTTCAGGCAAGTTAACAAATGAGAAAGTAACAGGTTTCTTGACTGAGTGCCCCAAACAAACCCAACTATAACCCAGGACATTTACTGTTAAAATTATGAGCCCATGAAAATCCAAGTTTATAAGAACAAAGTTGTTTACAGACTTGAAATAAAAGCATCCATAATTTTAATGCTGTAACTGTAGATTAAGACAATGCAGATGGGCATAATTTTCCATTCTTAATATGAGACACAACACCATGTGTCTTTAATATAGATACAACATATACATTCAGCTAGAACATTGGTTTATTCTTACATTTCAAATTCCAACTTAAGTCACTATCTAAAAAAAAGCAAGTGAGTACAAATGCAGTAAAGATCATGATGGTATAATGATCAGTCATTTAACACAATCTAACATGTTATTTGTAGGATCTACAGAGAATGAAAAGTTTTCTCTATTAATGCTTTGGGTTAATCCTGTATCCAAACATTTTTCCCAATAAGCATCAGATTATTTTTATGTCGGCTATAAAGCTGTCACTTCTCAATAAACAGACATGCTCCTGGTGGGTTTACCTCACTGTCAAAGATCTGTCAATTCATGCATCATCTCATAAGTGAAACCAGAGAACCTTTACTGCACAGCTCCTAGCAAATCCAGCTGAGCAGAGGCTGCTCATCACCTGAGAGGATTCCCACCACTGCAGCTCCTGTGCAATTAGTAGTGACTGGATGCTCCCAAAACAAGTTCACAAAATCCCTGCAGTTAATAGTTCTGCCTCCCTTTAAAAGAAAGTTACGTGACCTTTAATGGTGTGCTCAAGTGAGACTTCGTTTAGTGAGTCTCAATTAAATTTTATGTTTTGTGGCTCCCTTTTTCTTGTAAGACAAGAAAAGAGTTCAAGGAATGGATCCTTATTTGAAGAATTTAATTCCCCATGAAGAAAATGTATTTCCAGTTAAAGAGATACTCAGAGTTTGGGGGAAGGGAGTTTTTGTAGAACTTCCTGTTGGTTTTTTGTTTGTTTAGTTTTTGTTTTGATGTTTGTTTGTTTTACTTTTGTTTGTTTGTTGTTTGTTTGTTTTGTTTTGTTTAAAGATTTCTAGTGCTTTGTAAAGATGAAGGAGTTTTCTGATTCTTTGAAGCGGACAGTGTTCTGTTAGTGATTAGACAATTATTTCCTCTCTTCTTTCCATTGTAATGAGGACAAAATCAGAGGGATGGTTAAAGAATTCTGGCAGTTATTTGTGATGAAGCTTTCCATGAAATCACCAGATTGCTCCAGTGATACTGTAGCAACATAGTACTGGTTGATTTTCAGTAAGAGCCACTGCAGCAAATGAATCATTTGCATAAGTGTTCATAAAAATAAATAATTCCTAGGCTGACTCTGCATACTTAACCTCAACATAACAAGGTAAAAAAATTAAGGAACAATGAAGCGTCTCACCTGAACTGGGCTTTGACATTTTGGCTTACCTTAGTTGCTACTACTGAAAAATGTAAGTACAAATCAGCATAAGCAATATTCCCAAATGTAAACATTTTCAGGGACAGGCCATTAGTAACACTTTTTTTCCCGCTGTGTTTCTTTATTTAGTTAGGGTTTTTTTTTTAGTCAATTTAACATAAAATCACAGATGCCAAAAGGGAATTCAGAGTGCTGAAGAAAAATGCCTAAATCCTTTTTCAATTAGTTTAGCTCTTTTCATTTTAGTTTATGCCTAAACTCTTTATAGATTTAGATATTTAGATATCTTCAGAAAATGCCACACACCATTGGGGGTGTTTCCTATTGCCAATATGAAATAAACATGGGGCATAAATGAGTTTCTTATACCCTACTCACAGACTTACACACCTGAGTCTGAACACCTCATAAACTGATTTTGTTTGCTTAGTACCCAAATGTGAAGTCCTTTCTTGGGACTCTCTTCTGCATATTTTTGTGGCCACATGAGGAATGGGTCATCAGGATTAAAGGCTTCCACAAACTAAAATAATTCACATTCCACCATCACTTCCTACACAGCTGTCGTAATCACCATGCTCCAGAAAACCAGACAACTTGTGAAGACAGGAATGAAAGACTCATGGAGTCATACAGGTTTTTCAGGATTAACTGGTTTCTTTTCTTATTTTTATCTGAAATTTAACATTATAATTCATCTGAGATTTTTTTATCTCATTCTTTTTTCCTAGTGCTTACTACTGATGTCTTTCAATGTGAATTTCTGCCTCTGTCTAACTTCCTGGAGAAAAACAGGTGCTCATGACATTTGCTTTTTGACTGCTTGTATGGACTGCTTGAATTGAGTATTGACTGCTTTTGAAACAGACTCTATAAAACTCTGTATTAGCTCTTGCCCAACAGAAATTTGATGCAATCCATTGCTAAACTGTGATTTAAATAGATAATATTTTCATGTAATCATCTTCTTTTTCCTTCTCACAGATTCATTACTTGTTACAAACATTAAATATATTCTGGTTTATTTCCAGTATCAGGGCACAAGAGTTCCATAGGAAAAAACCAATGAATGAAAAAAATAGTGAATTATCTTGGAAAGTGTCTCTTGATTTAGACTCTTTCTCCAGATATGAAAAATACTAGTGAATTGGGATGAGATAAACACTCTTTTCACACTCACTGACTTGAATATTGAAACTAGTTTTCTATTTAAAAATAGTTCTACATTATCATAAATATTAATATCTCAGTAGTTTTCTTTTGAGAAGCAACACAAGTTAACATTAACTCAGCCTAGAATACCTCAGAAGCCACAGATTATCATTTGTGTGGAATCTTTTCAGCTTTTAACTTTTTAATGTCTTTTGTTGTGAAAAAACACAACATTAACCTCTCAACAAAAATGAATTTGCAACTAATAAGGGCATCTGTGACAACTTCCTCTTCCAACATCACAATGAAACTTCTTTGTATGTCCCTACTTTCTCATTTCAAACCATCCAGCTCTATATGGATGTGCTTAGGTAGTTTAGCTTAGCTAAATCTCACTGCAAGAAACAAAACTGGTCTAGTTATTAATTTTCACTGCTCATCTCACGTCTGTTTTTTCAGTGCAGCTTGGGGATGCAAGAAGTCAATGTCTCACTGCACCTATGCTGCCTCCATACCCAGCATCTGTGCCACTACATACAGGAGCAGTTCCATTTTGATGAATATTTAGGCTGGACTCATGATCCAGAGGTCTTTTCCAACCAAATTGTTGCTGTGATATACGGATTAAAAAAAAAAAAAAAAAAAAATTGGGTTGCTATGGTATTAAAAAAGTCTATGGAAAGCCTGCCAGCGATTCAAAGCTGGGTTTTACTAATTAGAGTTACCTTGATTAAAGGCTAGCTTCCAAAGAGCTCCTGTGGATAACAGGCTTAACTTTAAGCATATGATTGATCCCATTACATTCACTGGCTTTAACTGGACTGCTCATAAAATGAAGCCTATATTTAAATGCCTTTCTGGATCAGAACCCAAGTCCCTTAGAAGAGCTCAGGCTTGGAGCAGCTGTACCTTATGATGCCAGTATGATTCAAGTAACTGATGAACATACCTGCTTTTGCCATATTCTGTCAAACTGAAAAGCTATGGAATTTTGCTTACACAGGTCCTGCAAACATTGTGTCCCACAGGTAACTGGGAATGCCATTTCATCAGAGCTTGTAAACAAGTGATACGCTCAGCCCGAGCTGCTTACTAAACCAGGACAAGACACATGAGTGAAGATACAGGAATACACCGATGCAGCCATCCTGCTCCAGTGCTGGAGCAGGGTTTGCACCAGTGTCTCGCTGCAGCTGTGCATTCTTTGACACATTATAATAACCAAAAATGTCATTGTGAGTCTAATTTAGACTAATCAAGTCTTTTCAAGTTGTGCTCGTTATGTAAGACTACGTTTGCCAAATTCTTGCAATTGCAAAAAGAAGAGTGGAATATAAAGAGGATCTAATGTCTGGAAAATGGGTGATTAAGAAAGCTTGCATAAAATTGACAATTTTAAAAACATATACTCTTACCCTTCTCGTTGGAAAATAGTCCTAAAACAGTCCCCCAGGCTCTTGTAACTGGTTGGATCAGTTTTCCCTCTTTGAATTTGGAACCTAAAAAAAATACAATTTACATCACAGCATGAGAAGTCAGGGATTTTAAGTCACTTTTAACTTTCCAATTATTATATAAAAGGAGTTTTAAAAGGTTTTTTTATGTCTCTGATTCATTATTATATACTGTTCCTGATATACTTATTAACACTGTTTTCATAGAAGCTGTTAAACCAAGGAAAAGTAGAGCTTTAGTAGTACCTTTTTTTGTAGTTTATGGAACTCACAGTATAGCTATCACCTTTGACATTTACACCTCTTTCTAGTTGTTTGAAAAATAAGCTGTTAACCCTGTGCCTGATCCAAAGCCCACTGAAACTAATGTGAGTGTTTGAGTCAAACCCTGCTTTTGAAAATCTGGAATGTAATACTATCGTGTGTTGCTCATTTTTATATCTGACACAATTACAACAAAAATCAAACAGAGACATGAGCAGATATTAGAGAACCATTCATTTTTCATAACTCAATAACAAGATGAACAATAAAAGCAAGCAATGAATTATTCTAATTGAAACCTTATTTTCTCTATTCAAATTTTGACAACAATAAAAATTTCAACATGAAGCTTGTGGCCTTGAAAGGAAAATCAAGATTATGATTTAAGATTGTAAACTTCTTATTGTTATGATTTACAGATAGCAACAGTGATTTAACAAACTATATTATTTTACTAAGTATCTCAGATAGAGGATCCTATTTCCTTCAGTTAAAAAACTGCAGCTGGCACATTCAAGTAAATAAAATGGAGATAATTAGATTAATTTTTAGCAACATAACTTCTTTTTAAGCTGTTGATTGCCAAATAGCACTAAAAAATAAAAAGAATATTGCTGTTGGCAATTCCAGTCTAAAACAGCCTTACATCAGGCAATTACTATACTGGTTTTTATTCCTGGCTTCAAGGAATAATTCATATTACAGTCAAGTACACTGCTTGCCACAGGTACACTGCTGTTCTGAGATACATCAATTGTTACTCATTCTGATCACGATACTGGATCTCATTTCAATGAGATAACGAATCAAGGCATTTTTAACTCAAGGTTAAGCAGCAATTTTCTCCTCTCTCACAGAATTCACTAAGGTCAAGTCAACATTTGCATTGTGGCAAAAGGCATTCATTGTTTTGAACATCAGAATTTCTGTGCTAACACAGCTAAAATGTTCTTCAGTTTGAGGAAAAATATTTGAGTGATGCAATTCTTTGGGCAATTATGAAGGCAAGCCCACACCTTTTTTAAAACAGGCAGAAGGAAACACTGAGTCCCTCCGTAGTCCTAATAAAAGTAGTTCAGGCACATCTGGGATCTCTATCTGGGGTAACCTCTTTTATTAGCACAAGAACTTGCTGCCAAGTTGGCAGAAAGAAGAATGCTATTCAATAGGCTTACACTCAAATAGAGCTGGTGCATAACATTTTGTCTGAAAAGATCCCTTGGGAAGGCTAATAGTTGAAAAAAAAAGCCTCAATGCCATCAGCATAGTCCAACAGCAATACCAGCTACAGAAGCTTTTACATTGTGGCAATCAAGCAATCAAAATTATAACAGACCCTAGTTTCTATGCACATTTTAATGCATTTAAGTATCACTGTTTCTAAAGCACCCTTTGAATAATGCACTTTGGTCTCTTTCACCCTGCAAATGCTCAGCAATGTCCTACTTGCATGTGTGTAAGGCTCCCCACTAAATCATGCATGCAAAACTGTTTGTTGAGCTGGGGCTTTAATTCCAGAGTCACAGTGGATCTCAACAACATAGTGAACATATTTATATAATTCTGCTTAACAGCTTACACATTGGCAACTTCTCAACTAAATTTAAATGATTCAATAAAATTACGTCTTTTATAGCAATAATGTAAGTAATGGCAAAAGAAATGCAATAATCCTGTAGGTAATTTATGTTTTATCAGATGAAGGATAACTTCTTGCTAAAGAAGTTAAGTCAAAGAAGCTTTACATTTATTTCACATATTTGCTTTAATATAGATAAGACTTTAGAGTTAAATGAGTCCATTTGTTACACTGAGTCACACAAATAACATATTCCTTCCTGTAGGGTTTTTGGATCCATTCCTTCCCTAGTAAATCTATTTTACAGCTTTAACAGCAATTCTAAAATACATGCCAATTATGTGCTTCAACCTAGATCTGCAAATTGGGTTCTTTGATTCAGAATTGCTTGCCTCAATAAAATCATGTGTAACTTTTTAATGAACTAACTAATTGATGACCAGCACTTGTTATAAGAAGCTCAGGGAAGAGCTGAAAAAAAATGTTTGTTTGTTTTCCTGGAGACAACAGTGGCAGCCTCTATTAGCAGTCTTAATAACAGAGAAGAGCTAAAGCACTCCCTTAAAGAAAACCCAAACCTGGCCTGTTTTTAATGATTGTTTAGAGGAATGAACACAACTGTGGGATATGTAATGGCTTTCTCTGCTTCAAATCCGTTCCTTTCTAAAAGCACTATAAAACCACTGAATTTCATGCATTTTTGAAAGTTGGATGTCTGCCTTGTATCCTTTCAGTTTTTGCTAGACCAAAAAAGATAAATTCCCCTCTAAATACTATTGGAGCACTAACTTCTGATCTAATAATTTTGAAGTGTGATGGCAGGCAGCCCTCAGTGACATGCTGAACAGCCATATGTGCAGGAATGCTTTCCCAGGGCTGGGATGGACAACCTCCTGCTCACTACCAGCGTCCAAGAAGTGTCAGAAGTCACTGGACACTGTAACACACTGTGTGTTTACTGCAAGATTTATCACTTTAAAAATGAGCATCGGGCTAACTTTACTCCCCTGTCATTTTCCTGCTTCTTGGCTTTCTGGGCAGAATGCTGTGGTGCTGAGCACTCCCAACGCTCACTGAGGCACTTTGCATCCCATCTTGCCTCTGCCTACCTGGGACCAGCCCAGGCATTTACTGCCTGCCCCCTTGGCCCCTTGCAGTTCCCACATCCATCTCCCATGCCCTGAGGGACATCACACTTTCTTTTTCTGGCTTGCAGCAGCAGTCCAAAGGGCTTGGTCTTCTTCCATGTCTCCTCTGAAGGAACAGTACCTCTGCAGTTGCTACACTAGATACCAAAGTACCCTGATAATGTTTAAGAAGACAACATTAGTGCCCTTCCCTGTTCACTGCAGAAGACACATGTTTGGGATCTCTATAAAAAGTGGGAATCATGTAAAAGTATTTGAGGTTTTGGGGTCTGTTCAAAAGGCATTGAAAACTGATGATCTAAAACCATGAAAATATTTTAACTTACCCACACTTACCAGCACTAAAAATTCTACTTGTGAAAAGAATAAACCCAAATTATTGTTATTTTACTAGCATGAGAGAGAACTTTTTTTTTATGGTTATACCAGTCCTTGATCAATAAGTCTCAATGGGCTCTGCCTGAAATTCCATAATGTAGAAGATGCTTGAGTTGTTTCAGCAGTTCTCTGAACCACTTATCATTTAACAAGTGATCCATCATGCTGTGTAGCCATGACTCTACACAAACACATGCATCTGTTTCCAATGCCTATCTGACAGTCCTTGTTGGTTCTTAAATAGCCAGCATTTCATTCTGAGTTCAATAAACTCCTCAGTCCAGATCATGCTTTTCTGATCCTATTCCTATTGCAAAAACCCTCTAGGTAATCTTTTCTAATAGAATCAATATCTACAGAAGAACAAATAGATGCATGTTCTTTAAAAAAAAAGATTCTCTCACATCCCTCTATAATTTGCTAAATTTTTTGTTCATGTTTGCTGAATATCTCATCAAAGTTTTCTTGTGCACGTCTGCTACTACATTATCCAGATATTTAGTGCTTAAAGTCTGCTTACCACAACATTACCTAAAAATCCTCCCTGTTTTATTTACTGATCTGAGCTGGAGAAAGATTTCTAATTCATATTGATGTTGTTTTAGCCATCTTAATATCTAAAAGGAAGATATCACTATTTTCATATCTAGATTGAAGCACATAGTGAGATTTAAGACCCAGTTATGTAGGACAACCCCAGTGTGATATGGAGCAGTCCAGACTTGTCAGATTCTTGCCACTGCGTTTGCAAAGACCACTGTGCATAAATTCCAGAATTTCTTGCTGTTTTTATGCAGCACTGCTGACTAGTTTCTCAACCACAGAGTTCAGAGGGAAAGAAAAACACTGACTCATAGAACCAAGCTTTATACCAGGCTGCAGTGCTTGCCAAGGAGTGGCAGCCTGAGCTGTATTTTCCTTCTCTGCACATCTCAGTAGGATTTTATCATACGTTCTACTTGGTTTTGAATACAGCTCCTAATATTTCCATTCATGGCTTGGGTTTGTGCAGTACCAGAGCAAATAAACTTGGGCACTGACGTATATGGATGCTATAAAGAAGAAAATTACATGGCATAACAACAAAAGAAATTAAAATATCTGTGCAACTTTAATTTTAAAACAACTTTAAAATAAATGTATGGTCTTTGGAAAACTGAAAACATGCATAGCTTTTTTGCACTTTCAGTAATTCCCATGATTCCAGACACTCCTAACTGTATTTGCCACACCCTTATATGTTGATAAAAGAATGTATAGTCTGAAGTTTTATATAAATATACATTATTTAACAGTTAACATACTTATAATAAAATAAAATAACTGCATTATATTTTTAAAATATTTTGATTTGTTAAGTTAAACATTTATTCAGGTGTTACTATGAGTGGTATCTACTGATGCTTAAATTTCATGCAAAACTTTAGACTGGAAAACGGATAATAATATAATCCTCAATAATATAATTTATTTCACTTTTTGGCTCAAGTTCTTTGAGTTGCTTATGTTACTCACACGATAATAACTAAGTTGAGAGTATAATTCTGCCACTTATTTTAATAGTAAATCATAGGAGCTGTTAAAGAACTGAATATTACTTTTCAAACAAAAAAAAACCTAATTATTTTAGGCAAAAGATAGAAGTTTTGCTACTGCAGAGGTTCATATTTTGAGTG